ATATAATTGTTGCTCATGTTAATTAATATAGTTAATGTTAATAACTGAAACCTTATTGTAAAGTGTTACTAAAGTTTTATATATTGTTCTGTGTGTGTGTGTTTCACAGTCTTGATGGTTTTGATTAACCCTTTAATTGCCGTATCCCTTAAAACCAGAATGCCAGAGGGTTATTGTAAATGCATGTGCCCGCTGTGCACCGTTCTCCTGATGCCTCCGGGGTGGCGTTTGCACTGATGGCTTGGGCCCGCCATCGCCGCTTGCAGCTATATTTTTTGTTTGTTATTACAATTGTGTTCATTTGCAATTCGTTTTTCACTTCATTCATAGTCTTATTTAAACTGAATGTTTATATGTTATGTTTGCATTATTGTTGTATTGCAAATATTTTGATAGGATGGAAAAGGCAATGTCATGTATTATAGAATTATTAATATTATTGAGCAAGTTTCATCCAACATAATGTATACAGTAGTACTTGTTTTGTAAACGTGTAAAGCAAAAAGGCTGTTATAGCATATAATATTATTACAATTATTTTTTTTTACATTTACTTATTTTATAGTTTATAATGTTAAATGTTGTTTATTATACTCAATACTGAAGTACTTTATACTCTTCGTTTTAATTATACTGAATTAAATGCTATCTCTCTCTCTCTCTATTGTTTTATAATATGAAAATAATTATTTATATTTACATTTAGTCATTTAGCAGATGCTTTTATCCAAAGCGACTTACAAATGAGGACAATAGAAGCAATCAAAATCAAACAAAAGAGCAATGATATACAAGTGCTATAACAAGTCTCAGCTAGCTTAACTCAGAACATGTAGCAAAGTTTTTTTTAAAAATATATAATAAATAAAAAGAAAACAGATAGAATAGAGCAAGCTAGTGTTAAAGGCCTTTTTTTGCTTTTGTTAATTGTATAATAAATAAAAAGAAAACAAATAGATGGCATACAAAAACATTAGAGAAGCTAGTTTTAGTTGATTTTTTTTGTGTGTTTGTTTTTTTTTGGTAAGAAAACAAGCAGTTAGTTAATGAATAGAGTGCAAGTTTTTTAAAGAATAGAATTAGAATAGAGAGTGCTAGAGTTAGAGGGTCAAATAAAAATGGAAGAGACGTGTTTTTAGTCGATTCTTGAAGATTATAATTATATATTTATAATTTATTTATTTATTTAGTGATTTATCAGACGCTTTTATCCAACACTGCTTACAAATGAGGACAACAGAAGCAATCCATTGTAGTATTAAAACAACTAAAAACAGACCCAAAACTAAAAGCTAAAACTATAAATACTACCTATACACATTTAAAAAATAAAGAGATTAAATAAAAATGACAAATGCATACACCAACATTTCAAAACTTAACATTTAAATGAAAAACAAAAAGTAAAGCTAAAAACAATTCAAAATATTAAAGAACAAAAGGTATAAGAGTATAATAATGATTCTAACAACACTAAGCCAAACACCAAAAAAACAACAACTACATATATGTATGTACAACACACACATATATATATATATACATATACAAAACACAACAAAATAACTACAATTAAATGAAAATGGAAGATATAAAAATTAGTGCTGTCAAACGATTAATCGCATCCAACATAAAAGTTTTTGTTTACATTATATATGTATGTGTATTGTGTATATTAATTATGTATAAATAAATGCACACACATACAGTATATATTTTGAAACGTTTATACATTTATATATTCGTATTCTTATATTTTATATTATATAAATATATTTAATTTATAAACATAACATATTTTTCTTAACTATATACATGCATGTGTTTGTATTTATATATTCCTAATAAATATACACAATATACACTCATATATTATGTAAACAAAAACGTTTATTTTGGATCGCAATTAATCGTTTGACAGCACTAATAAAAATAAAAACTATTTTAATATTAATAATAATAATAAATGTAAAACATGAATAGAAACTATAATAGTATCTCAGTGATACTAAAATAAAACTGGGATACAGGTTTCGAACAACTAAATGATGACAAAAAATTGGGGTGAACTGTTCATTAAGGGGTTTGTTAAAATCCCCAAGCATAAATATTGTATGAGTCATAATGATCTAACTTTATAAAGCTCCAATGATTAAGTAATCCATCACCTTCAAACGCATTTTTAAAATCGCTGTCACGGTTATAATAAGCAGTTCGTCTTTGGGCCGGTCACCTGCACCACTGCCTGTCATCTAATGCACCCAAGCATAAAAGCTTCTACTGAGGATGACCGCTGAAAATGCTAGACAGCATCACTCAGTGGGCAGAAGCCCAGTATGGCGCCAGGTTCGGTCTCAGAGGGTGATGAGATTATTATACGGTTACACAGACAGATATTGGGACTATAAAGTGATTCATAAAAACATGGTTTGTAGGACAAGCAGATGGACAGGCAGGAAGTGAGAGGAGAAAGAAGAGGAACTAGAGGGACATGCTCTCTGTCCTCTTTTGAGTGCCGCTCATTGGTCTTTTTCGAGCTTGGCGTTTAGCCCAGGCACGCTGAGACACGCTCTCATCTTACCTGAAGACTCGTTTAAATGATCTGCTTACTCGTTTGCACACTTGGCACCGTTCTGAGGGAGCATGAACAGAGGGAAAGAGAGGGGGAAGAGAGTTTGATGTACTTGCTCAGTACGCTTCCTTGATCAGCAGAAGAACGTCTTGGCCATGACAGGTTTTAGGTGTGTATACAGCTAGATTTGAGGGGGAATAAAAAGGACATTTTACAAAGACATCAGAACTTCTGAGGGCTGGATATGAAAGGCTTGATGCCACGAGAATCTTCAAAGTGCCTTTCCCAGGAGAATGCGTGACTGTAGATTAAGGGTTAAACCAACCAACTCGCATCAAGAAAGTGCTGTGAGGGTGGGAGGAAGTAGAAAAAGAAGGAGTGAAGGAATAAAGGATGGGAAGCAATGGATTGACAGACTGATGGGAAAACTGATGTACAGATAGACAAAAAGTGAGTAACCAAGTCAGAGAGAAATTAAAGTTTGGGGTCAGTAAGATTTTTTTGTTTTAATTACTTTTATTCAGATTTTTAGTATATATATATATATATATATATATATAGGCCTATATATTTACAGTATATATGGGCTTTGAAGCTTGTTTTCACCATGTGATAAAAAACTGGTGATCAATTCTTATTATTTTTTTATCACATGGTGAAAACAAGATTCATATACGTAAAACAAGCTTCATATATTTCTAGCAATTGCGAGTTTATATTCTGACTTTATACCTAACTCAATTGCGAGTATCAAAGTCCAGATTGTGAGAGAAAAACTAAAAATTGTGAGATAAAAAGTCATGGAACTCAAAAAGATAGTAATACTTATCTATCTTTTTAAAAGTAGAGTTTAAAAACATTTATAAAACTTTAATCTGTATTTTTCCTTCCATTTTGGATAAACTCTCTTCAGTGTGATGCAGATGTCAAGGTTTGGCGTCAGTGATGAGCTTTGAAAGCTGAGGGGGCTATTTTCAGCAAATAAGAACTTCAATTTCAGTCTGTTCATCACACAGAGCTGTTGTACGGCTTTAGAAGACTTGGAATATGGTGCATGAGTCATATGGGCTTCGTTTATGATACCTTATGGTGCTTTTTTAATTATTAATTAATTAATTTTCTTTTGGAGCTTGACAGCCCCAGCTCTCATTTCATTGCCCTTGACGGATATAAAATGTTTCTGGCCTTAAAAGTTATGAAGCTACACTGTGATTTAGAAAGCACTGAACAGACATGGAATTTGAGATCTATCATTTTGTCATTTTATTTATATAGCACTATATAATTACATTTTTTTAAAAATATATAATAAATAAAAAGAAAACAGATAGAATAGAGCAAGCTAGTGTTAAAGGCCTTTTTTTGCTTTTGTTAATTGTATAATAAATAAAAAGAAAACAAATAGATGGCATACAAAAACATTAGAGAAGCTAGTTTTAGTTGATTTTTTTTGTGTGTTTGTTTTTTTTTGGTAAGAAAACAAGCAGTTAGTTAATGAATAGAGTGCAAGTTTTTTAAAGAATAGAATTAGAATAGAGAGTGCTAGAGTTAGAGGGTCAAATAAAAATGGAAGAGACGTGTTTTTAGTCGATTCTTGAAGATTATAATTATATATTTATAATTTATTTATTTATTTAGTGATTTATCAGACGCTTTTATCCAACACTGCTTACAAATGAGGACAACAGAAGCAATCCATTGTAGTATTAAAACAACTAAAAACAGACCCAAAACTAAAAGCTAAAACTATAAATACTACCTATACACATTTAAAAAATAAAGAGATTAAATAAAAATGACAAATGCATACACCAACATTTCAAAACTTAACATTTAAATGAAAAACAAAAAGTAAAGCTAAAAACAATTCAAAATATTAAAGAACAAAAGGTATAAGAGTATAATAATGATTCTAACAACACTAAGCCAAACACCAAAAAAACAACAACTACATATATGTATGTACAACACACACATATATATATATATACACACATTTATAAATTCAATATATATATTACTTCATTTCCATTTAGTTTGTTGAAGTATTAAAATAACTCAAATTAAATAAAACTAAAAACTCAATAAAAGACCTACACAGACATAATCAATTCAGACATAATGTAACTCAAATTAAAATAAATAACAAATACAAATAATGCAAATCAAACGACAGTAGCTTATCAGTAATCCTAAAAAATAAATAAATAATAATAAAATAAATAAATAATTATAATATAAAAATTATGCATTGTATATTTAACCTTTTAATTTTGTCTTCCACAATATACTTCAGATCAAAGAAACCCGAATGGGCTAGATTTGCATTAAAAAGTTATTTTACGATATGAATAATGTTTATTTACAGCTAAAGGCTCGGCATGTGCTGATTAACTGTAGGGCATATGAAAGGGAAAGAATAAAGCTAAAAGAGGAATTCAAATCTGCCGGCGTTAATTCTATGACATTACAGAATGTGTTAAACAGTTCTCATAAAGGTTATAAAGCTCTTATTAATTTTCTGAAAATAACACATTTACATAAAATATAGGTAGAAGGTTTTTTGAGAATTAGCATTTCCCTTGATATCAGCCATCCCAGTAGGTGGCGGAATATGCACCAAAAGCTGGTTTGCCAACCGCCATAAAACATCAAAAGAAGAAGAAGAAGCTAAAGGCTCGTGATTGGTTGGCGGGCTGTGACGTCACCACCGTCGCAGACATGGCGGAAGTGAAAGGTGAGTTAAATCTCTGACTGTACGTTTCATTCTGCATGTCCCACACGGCGCGAATGGCTCGAGTCCAAACAAGACTGGCTGTCGTTGTCGATGATTCGTGTGTTGTTTGGATGGGTTAGTTATTGGATGCTGCTGGATTTGAGCGTGTAAGCGTTTCTCATCAATGAGCGCCACAGCCCATCCGTTCATGCATTTACATGACAGTGAGTCAGACGTCTGTCATGTCTGTTCGCAGTGTTTCCCCTGTGCTGTGTGGTGCAGAGCTATGCCTGGGGTAAAGCGGGTCTGGACAGTGAGGTGGCCCGGCTGGTGCTCGGTGGAGACCCTCAGGCTCTCATAGAGGAGGCCAGACCCTACGCAGAGGTACAGTGTGGACCATAGACTGACCAGCCCTGAAAAACTGAGCAGACTACTGCAGGGGTTTTTATCTGCTGACACCAACAAAACACCCACCAAAAGCTGGTTTGCCAACCGCCATAAAACATCAAAAGAAGAAGAAGAAGCTAAAGGCTCGTGATTGGTTGGCGGGCTGTGACGTCACCACCGTCGCAGACATGGCGGAAGTGAAAGGTGAGTTAAATCTCTGACTGTACGTTTCATTCTGCATTTCACGCAACATTGGGTCCCACACGGCGCGAATGGCTCGAGTCCAAACAAGACTGGCTGTCGTTGTCGATGATTCGTGTGTTGTTTGGATGGGTTAGTTATTGGATGCTGCTGGATTTGAGCGTGTAAGCGTTTCTCATCAATGAGCGCCACAGCCCATCCGTTCATGCATTTACATGACAGTGAGTCAGACGTCTGTCATGTCTGTTCGCAGTGTTTCCCCTGTGCTGTGTGGTGCAGAGCTATGCCTGGGGTAAAGCGGGTCTGGACAGTGAGGTGGCCCGGCTGGTGCTCGGTGGAGACCCTCAGGCTCTCATAGAGGAGGCCAGACCCTACGCAGAGGTACAGTGTGGACCATAGACTGACCAGCCCTGAAAAACTGAGCAGACTACTGCAGGGGTTTTTATCTGCTGACACCAACAAAACACCCACCCACCCACCCAGACCCTCAGCCAAGACGAGAAGCTCCAACACCAGTAGATTAGCTATATGCAACATTCTCTCAGATTGTTAGAAATGTCATGAAATAAATGACGGAGAATTCTGTTTTTTGTATATCCTGGAGTAATAATAATAATTATTATTAATATTAACTATTAATGTTATTGTCTGCTAATAATTAAAATAATACATCTTATTCATAATTAGCATTCATGTTGATATTATTATTATTATTAGTAATAATTACTATTACTATACATGTATAATTGGTGTCAAGTCACCGTTATTTATATAACGCAGATTGTGTCAGAGCAGCTGTACAGTATTAATAAAGGGAAATAGTGTGTCGAAGTCGAGTGCTAGATGAGACCAGCAGTTTAATTCTAGGTTGCAACAAAGTGTACAATATATGTATAATAATACTATTGCTGTTGTTGTTGTTTTGTTACTATTTATTAGTAACAGTAATAAAAAACCAAATATAATGCAGAGATAATCAAACTTTATTATTATTATTTTTTACACCCTACAATAATAAAAAAACAATTAGAATAAAACACTTAATAAAAAAAAAATTAGAAATTGTTTATTTATTTTTGTTATTTGAATTATTTCTTTGTAACACTTGGCTTTTTTCCTACCAATCTTTGGTCATTCGTTATTCCACTCCTTTGCGTTCCTTTTCTTTTTTCTTTTTTTTAAAGTGAGACCATGTCAATAATGTTAACTTGTAAACAGATTGTTCGTTCTGAAACCTATTAAACATTAAAAAGAATTTGACATTTCAATGGCCATGGGCTTGTGAAAGAAAAGGCATGTGTTATACAGCTCTTGTGGAGGTTCCATAAACAATCACGATTCAGCCTGTGCGTTTGTGTATTGTGCGGCTGTCGTACACATTATTGAACAGACTTGAACACAAGTGCAAATGTCTCTGATAATAGCAGCTCACTTAAAGGTCAGCGTGACATTCACTTCATGTGTCAGTCTATTAATAAAGCCACAGCATGTGCTCAGATGTGTTAACATGTTTTACTGTTGTATAAATAACCATCTTAAAGGAGCTTTTTTGACATTCTCAAATTAAGTGTTTGGTGTATATATATATATATGTATATACTGTGTGTGTGTGTGTGTATAGATACAATTGTGTGATCATTACATCTTTGTTTTCTTTCAAGCTTTGGATGGGTGCTCACCCCAAAGGAGATGCTCTCATCAAAGACAACAGGATATCCCAGAGGACACTAGGACAGTGGATTGCAGATTTCCCAGGATGCCTGGGGTCAAAGGTCAAAGACACATTCCACGGGCAGCTCCCGTTCCTTTTCAAAGTGCTGTCCGTCAACACGGCTCTGTCCATCCAGGCGCATCCCAACCGGGTGAGATCTGAGACTGTTTCCCTTATTAAAGTACTATGGAATAGGGTTGGGCGACGTCTACCAAATTGGCACTGGACAATGTCTACAGTGAAACATCGTGATGGACGATGACATCGGGGGGCGGGGTTAGGGGTGTGCCCGAAGCGTGAAACAAAACGCATTATACGGAGCCACTAAAAGGTTAGCCACTTGCTAGCGGTAGCCTGATGCATTGCAGTACATGAAAGTTCACTTACCACATACACAGAGTAAGGAGAAATGTCTGATAGGACGATGGCGAATGATTTGCAGATCCTGAGCACCAATGACAAACATCTAATCTTGTCAAATGTGTGGTAAGTAATGCCGCTCTATAGTATAGAGTCCTTGTGATGGTGAATCTCGAAAGTGAAAGTAAAATGAGAGCGCGCAATCGAAAGCGGTATCAGTAGCGGCTCCCTGATGCCCGCAATTTATATACAGCCTCCTATACTTGCCCAACGATATAATTGCGAGAAAAAGTATTGAAATATTTTTTTATCCTCCCATCTCGTAGGCTAGGTATTCCCTTTAGGGTTTCCGTAGTACATTTCCTTTCCGAACACGGAACTGGGATGAGGCGGATTGCGGGAGAGGGGGTGCTGGGGGGTGTTAAGCTACGATGGCATCGTCTATCGGCCCAACCCTACTATGGAACAGTAATGCTTGCATTACAAGGATTAATGCTTATTTTTTTGTGCTTTCACAAAAAAATCTATTATATCATGTGGTCTTAAGTGCAAAAATTTAGGAGAGCAATGAAAATGTATCAAATAATGTGTTTTCCCTTAATAAAGGGATACAAGGCAGAAATTTACAAGCAAAATTATTTCATTTTACACTAGGTTTTTTATTATTTCTGCTTCAAAACTATATTTAATAATTAAGTATTTGTAGGCCTCCTCATATATATATATATATATATACATACATACATACATTTTTTTCAGGATTCTTTGATGAATAAAAAGTTAAAAAGAAGAGCATTTATTCAAAATAGAAATCTTTTCTAACAATATACACTACAGTTCAAATTTCTATTCTTTCTTTTTTTTGAAAGAAATTAAAACTTTTATTCAGCAAGGATGTGTTACATTGTTAAAAAGTTATAGCAAAGATTTATATTGTTAGAAAAAAAATCTATTTTGAATAAATGCTGTTCTTTTTAACTTTTTATTCATCGAAGAATCCTGAAAAAAGTATCACAGTTTCCAACAAAATATTTGGCAGCACAACTGTTGCTAACGTTGATCATTCTGATAATAAATCAGCATATTAGAATGATTTCTGAAGGATCATGTGACACTGAAGACTGGAGTAATTGCTGATGGAAATTCAGCTTTGCATCACAGAAATAAATGATATTTAA